GAATTTATTTGATAATATCTAATAGTTCTCATAACAGAAAAGGTTACTGATGTTTTAAATATTTATTTTCTATTAATTTTATGTATTACTATTTAATTTTATTTATTTTAGGACACGTCTGAACAGAGACACTGTAATTTAGATATTTGAGCAATAAATATGATGTAATAAATATAATAAATTAAAACATCAATAGATTGAGGAAAACTATTTATATGATCATAATATTAGTGCTGTCAAACGATTAATCGCGATTAATCGCATCCAAAATAAACGTTTTTGTATTTTGCATAATATATGTGTGTGTTCTGTGTATATTTATTATGTATATATAAATACACACACAGTATATATTTTGAAAATATTTACGTGTATTTACATGTCTATATTTAAATAATTTATATTATAAATAAATATATTTCATATCTAAAATAGCATATTTTTCTGAAATATATACATGCATGTGTGTGTATTTATATATACGTAATAAATATACACAGTACACACACATATAATATGCAAACAAAAACTTTTATTTTGGATGTGATTAATCGCGATTAATCATTGGACAGCACTAGATCATATCGAATAGTTTTCATAACAAAATAAAATGCCTCCAATGCTTTGAAGATGATTTTCTTTTCAATTTTAAATGAAGTTTGCAGTTTTTGCAGCCAAAAATCAGTGCACGTCAGAACAGAGACCCTAAAATTTTGATATTTGAGAAAAAACAGATTAATCCTTAATTAGTGTTTATTTCCAATTAATGTGAGAATTTATTTGATATCTAATAGTTCTCATAACAGAAAAGGTGACTGATGCTAATAAAGACTTATTTTCTATTCATTTTATTTATTGCTATTTTATTTTAGGACACTTCTGAACAGAGACACTGCAATTTTGATATCTGAGCAATAAGTATGAAATAATAAATAAACACAATAATTAAAAACATGTCAGAATGAGTAGCAAGGTTGCAGATCCATCCTTATTTAGTTTCATATGGAATTGTTTAAAGGCCACTAGCAGCATCGAACAGAATTGCGATCTGTATATTTGAGTGACCCAACGGGCCTGGACGTAATTTGCTTGTTGATGCTAGTGGCACAGAATTCACACACTTCAACTTCATTTAAAATGAACATGTATCATATTTATAGAAAGTGCCAATGGCAAAACTGAAAAAAAAAAATTATAATTTGAAGGACATTTCAGCGCGAATACTGGTAATCTCAGCGCCTCCTCGTGTCATTAAAGCAGAGTCTTTTCTCCTCTTTGTGCGAAGGCTATTTATAAAATGGTGGGCACGGTGATAATGATGAAGATGAACGAGGACGGTCTGACACCACAGCAGAGAGTGGATCGGATCTTCAGCAAGATGGATAAAAACAACGACGACCAGATCTCACTAGACGAGTTCAAAGAAGCCGCCAAGAGCGACCCGTCCATCGTACTGCTCTTGCAGTGCGACATGCAGAAGTGAGGCATGCTCCGGACTGAACGAGTTATCCGTTTCCACTCTCATTTCCACAAGAGTAACATGTTTGGACTACTTTTAAACAAACTTTCTTCTTGTGATCGAACAACTAGTATGCATGAGAACGTTAACTGCTAAAGAGTTTAGAGTATATCCGTTTAATTTCCAACATGCAACAATGTGAGACGTGTAAATCAAACGAGTCCAGTTGTTTTCACGCATCCATCGTCAGTGAAGTGCTCCGCCGTATTTCATTTCTAGCCGCAATACTTACGATCACACGCACTACGTTGACTGCCGTACTTCACGCAGTCGTTTGGGAACCGAAGCGCGTCACACTAAATGTTACGATGAAATCAGTCTGTCGAACTTCAATACTCTAAATTTAGGAGGGCGGAGAGGTTTGTGCAGCCCTCCTTCCAAACGTGCTTGTACTTGAGAATATAAATGTACGTTATTTGCATGCATGTCCTAAGTGTAAAAAGCTACTCTCTCTTCATTTCGGCAACCTTGACGAATAATACAAGGGAGGCCTTATATAAATGCTAGTATCAATAACAATGCTAATATGTGAGATTTACATTCGTTCCTCATCTATCCATTAGATGTCCTCCCTCGGGTGCATGCTTCCTCTTAAAGACGTACCATATGTGTGGTAAAAGTTCTCTGTAAGGCACACGTTCCAGCCCCGCCTCCATCATGATTTGCATCTGCCATTGGCTTCTGCTGGTTTCACCCTATTTTGCACTGACACGAGGACCTAATAACCAGTCTAAAACCGACCTTTCTTTTTCTTAACGTTAAAAGACCACCGCTGACATCATTCTTATTGCGTTACACTCTTGTTTTACTTTGCGCACATGCATGAATGGTTGCCTGTGAATTCGTTTTAGTAATAATACAGAAAGGGCAATATAACATTTTAAGCAAATTTTCCCTGGAGGGCATTTGGTAAAGGATCCGCTTCCCCTGGTTTTACGACAAAACCTTATCCTAAATGGGTTTGGTACACGTTTACTCTTAGTGTGCTGCATTTTTATTCAACCGTTTTTTTTGTAAAACAGTATTTCTACTCCAGCACCCATGGTTTTTAGCTGCATCCCTCAGAAGCAACTTTTCAATTACTTCCAGTACCCTCGTTATGTTATTCTCTACATTTTGTATCCTTCCTCGGTGTTATGTTCTCCTGAGACTTTAAAAATTTGGCATTCCAGATCTCCTACTTTCACATCTTGTGACATTCAGGATGGTGTCAGTCCCTTTGGTGGAGAACAAGGCACATCTTTGTAAAATGCAACTGCCCGATAAATAGTGTATATGTTTGCCCTGTAAATATTTGTACCTACTACGGTAAAGCCAAATTGAAGCAGTCCTTTAATTGTGTAATAAGAGGTTTGTGTTTTATTTGTGGCATGTTCAACTCGGTATGTAATGGTTGCACTGACGACATTGTGATTAAAATCAATAAACTATCTATGGGTTGTTTTCAGAATGCAGGTGCTTGATCGTGTGTGAGCACAAATCAGATGGTTAATGATATCTAAGAAGAGCATTGTGGTTTATTACAGAGGATGCTGGTTCAAACTGACAAATACCAATTCTGAACATACTGAAACCGTCATGAGCAGGTGCTAACGGTTGGAAACCGAAAGGAATATTTTACCCCAAAATGGAAAGTTACTCACCCTCAGGACATCCAAGATGTAGATGAGTTTGTTTCTTCATCAGAACAGATTTGGGGAAATGTAGCATTGCATCACTCGCTCACCAATGGATCCACTGCAGTGAATGGGTGCCATCAGAATGAGAGTCCAAACAGCTGATAAAAGCATCACAATAGTCCACAAGTGATCCACACCACTCCAGTCAATTAATATCTCAAAGAAAAAAGCTGTGTGTTTATAAGAAACAAATCCATCATTAGGGTGTTTTAAAGGGGTCATACACTCTTAAAAATAAAGGTGCTTCATGATGCCATAGAAGAACCTTTTTTTCTAAATGGTTCCATAAAGAACCTTTAACATCTGAAGAACCTTTCTGTTTCACAAAAGGTTCTTTGTGGTGAAAGAAGGTTCTTCAGATTATAAAAAGGTAAGAAAGAGATGGTTCTTTAAAGAACCTTTGACTGAATGGTTCTTTGTGGAACCAAAAATGGTTCTTCTATGGCATCGCTTGAAGAACCTTTTGAAGCACCTTTATTTTTAAGAGTGTATGACATTGCTAAAAAAAGAACATTATTTTGTGTATTTGGTGTAATGCAATGTGTTTATGCGGTTTAAGGTTAAAAAAACACATTATTTTCCACATACTGTACATTATTGTTTCTCCTCTATGCCCCGCCTTTCTGAAACGTGTCGATTTTTACAAAGCTCATCGTTCTGAAAAAAAGAGGGGTGCTGTGATTGGCCAGCTATCCAGTGCGTTGTGATTGGCCGAATACCTCAAGCGTGTGACGGAAATGTTACTGAATACCTCAAGCGTGTGATGGAAATGTTACGCCCCTTACCATATATTGTTTCCATGTGTCCCGGCGCGACGAGACAAAACCAATAAAACCTATTATAAAGGAGGTATTTGTTGCATCCAGTGGGGGCATAATTCCGGATTATAATGACATACTATAAAAGAATACTGTCTTTTTATGCGTTGCGTTGCGTCATGTAAACATAAAACCATGTCTGCATTTGTGATCGGAGAAACGACAAACAACAAGCGCTACTCTACACTGTTGAATAGTCAGTGGCAAATACTTTAAATATGAAAACGTACTTACAGGCTGAGTCAGCATTATTTGTCAGAACACTGGCATTGTAGGCTAGAGAATCAAAGTTACGCCTTCTTTCTTTGTGTGAACATTTGTGTGGTGTTATGCAAATCTTCCCACACAGTGACATAGATATGTGGGGGCGTGGACGAGTCTTAACTTTTAAATAGAATATCTCTTTGGGTTGAGACTTTAGTCTTTGCAACTTTAGGGATCTTATCTATGCACGAACAGCTTGTAACACTCCAAAGAGAAAGGAAAACTTGAAATCGCATCATATGACCCCTTTAAGTTCAAACCGTCACTTCTGTTCAAAATACGAGTCCATAATCCATAATAACGCTTCCTTCAGTGATAAAGTCCATTTCCTGTTGTCCTCTCATGCCAAAATCCACCAACATATTTGTTTAGAACTGTTTTCATTTGTAAACCGTGCTTGATCGGTGTATATTTCTCTCCTGATTCAGACTTTTTCACTAAAGAAATCAATATTACAGTATGTACAGAGGACTCATATTTTAGCTGAAGCTAAGTTTGAAGTTAAAAATGTCTTAATGTGTTTGTTTCCCACAAACACACAACTTCTCACTTTGCAATTGTTAATTGATGTTACTGGAGTTGTGTGGATTACTGACGGCACCCATTCACTGCAGAGGATCCATTGGTGAGCAAGTGATGTGAAGCAAAATTTCTCCAAATCTGTTCTGATGACGAAACAAACTCATCTACTTATTGGATGGCCTGAGACTGAGTACATTTCCAGCAAATTTAAATTTTTGGGTGAACTATTCCTTGAGCCTCCTTTTTTTTTTTTCTTAAAAGACCACATGAACTTGATGAAATGGTGTGAACTTCACAATAACACAAATTAGGCGCACGCTTTGTGCTTTTGAAACATCCTTTGCAGAGGAGCTAGAACCATAAAACTTCTTTAAAAATAAATAAAAGCAAATGCATAATAAACTGTACAGACATATAAACTTTACACACTTTCAGTACAGTCTCTCCAGGCAATGTCCGTACCTAACACACATCTCACTCCTCCTCCGCTTCTCTCTCTGGATCCTGAAGCTGGTGGATCGTAATATGGGAACTATTAGGCAGATGGCTGAAAGATAATGCAAAGAAACATCAACGTATATATCCAAAAACATTAACTCTATAATTCAGTGCTGTGCAAGGAGACAATGTTTTGGATCTCTAACCGACTTGACACCTTAACAAACAAGACCCTGGGCAGAAATCGACACTTCAAAGAAAATGTTCTCATTACGGGACTAATACGCTTTTACTTGGTTTACAATTATGCATTTGATTAACTAATGTCTGCAAACTAAATAACTAAGCACTAGTTCAGCAAGTCATTAAGAAACCTGCTTTGGGGAGTGTGGTCTACAAACCGTTTGCATTTCCTTCCTGAATAAATGTGATTGTGAGGACAGGAGAAGCTGATCATAAATGAATGCTGTTACTCTGAGTAACATCTGGTATCTCACACAAAAACTTTCAAGAGTTTGGTCATATTTCAGCACAAACTTATAAGTATACATAATGATAAATTTTGTTTTACTGAATGTATGCAGATTTGCATTAAAAAAAAAGAAAGGAAATTTACAACAAGTGTCCAGATTACAGTAATGAAAATCTGAGGAAAAATGTCTAATTACCACAATGCAAACACGGTAATGGTTCTAAAACGGGCATCATACATTAAAGTCTTTTTGTGTGATGTTATTCCTAGTGAAGACATTTCTCATTTTTAAACACCTATGATTTGTACTTGTCTTAAATTGTCTTTAATGTATTTAAATTCCTTTAAAAAATGTGTATTTTTTATAAAAATGTCAGAAAATGTATTTATGATGTTTTTAAATTTCAAACAAAAATTAGAACGCTGTGGGTGGAGATGACTTTCATTTACAAAAAATGTTAACTTTATAATTTTTGTTTTGCTTTTGGTGTAAAATATCCCATAGTAAAAAACAAAAAAAACTATGCCATAATTTAAAATAAGTTTATTTCAAACTAAGTATACTTCAAATCGACATTCAAATTGACATATTACTTGAGACTTACTGAAATAAAATTACACTTTATTTGGAGTATTTCTTTTTTGCACAATGCACATTTCTTAATATTTTGCCTAAAATGTGTTTTAATATCACCATTAATGATTGTATGATCTCTGTATAATATCAGTCTTTAAATGCAAGATATTTAAAGTATACTTGCAATAGTTCCACTTTAGCAAAATCAAATATACTTAAGCGTATCTTTAGTTGGTCCTCAGCACTACTTCTGCACAATTAAAGTGCATTAAGTCCAAAATTAGTTGTTCACATTTAGCATACTTTAAGTATACCAAATGTACAATTGCAGGGTATGTAAATATACATTTGAGTTTTTTTTCCCCCACTAGGGTCAATTAGACATGTTTCAGTGAGTTTCACCATAAAACATGTAATAACTTTTATTTTTCTACCTGGTGGACTGAGGGGTGATGAAGATGAACTGTCGCAGATGTTGACGTTCTGAAAGTGCCACAAGCATGTTCATTGAAATGCTGCGATTATGCATGTCCTTAAAAAGACAAAAGAGCTTATTAAACACATGAAATACTTTATATGTAAAATACTAATGTTTGACATGTCAAATGTCCTCAATAAAGTCATCACATAGGCAAGAGTACATACCATGTAGACATCAAACTCGTCCAGGCACCGGAAGGGTGACTCGGTAATCTCCCAGAGTGCCAGAATGAAGCAGACAGTGGAGAAGGAGCGCTCGCCTCCCGAGAGGGAACGCATGTCATTGACGTTGTTTTTTTCCTGACCAGGGGGTTTCACCTGAGCCAAAACAAGTAACATACATCACAAAAGAACGAAAGTGAAAGTGACGTGACATGTGGCCAAGTATGGTGACCCATACTCGGAATTAGTGCTCTGCATTTATCCCATTCAAAGTGCACACACACAGCAGTGAACACACACACACCTGGAGCAGTGGGCAGCTATTTTTTAGCTGCGGCACCCGGGGAGCAGTTGGGGGTTCAGTGCCTTGCTCAAGGGTACCTCAGTCACATTCACTCCCCCCACCTACAATCCCTGCCGGTACGAGACTCGAACCCGCAACCTTTGGGTTGCGAGTCCGACTCTCTAACCATTAGGCCACGACTTCCCCTTATTTATAATACTCACTTAGCGCTAGGTATACATCAGAATCCTGAAAATATATTCACAATTTCCACAACAATATTAAGCAGACGTTTTCAGCATTGATAATAATAAATGTGTCTTCAGCAGCAAATCAGCATATTAGAATGATTTCTGAAGGATCCTGTGACACTGAAAACTAGAATAAAATAACATCTTAAAGTATATTCAACTAAAAAAATGTTATTTTAATTGTAATAATATTTCACAATATTACTAATTTAACTGTGTTTATGATCAAATAAATGCAGCCTTGATCAAAACATTTTCAAGATATTATATGACCCAAGAGATATTTTCATCGGATTCATCCCATTAGTTGATTCAGTCAAACATTTGAGCAAACTGAAGTCAGAATATAACTTACTGCCAAACGTAACTTACAGAAATGGACAGAGTTTCATTGATGTGATCAAACATCATAGAGCCACAGCAGTTCAGCTGCATCATGAAGTTGTTGAAGTACAGCTTGCATCTCACAGAAAGTGACCTGAAAACACAATTTAAAACAGACTGTTCAAACATAAAGAACAGGAGTGGCAATCTTTTAAATAGAAACATCTAACTGTGATTAACGGTGTTATACTAAGTTACCGTCGCATTGATTTGTATCGGTCCTGACGGTCAATCATGATGTGGTCGAGGCGATCAATAAACTTCCTGAGATCCCTCAGCTGACTGGATTTGCTTTTGTAATTACTGTGAGCCTCTGCGTACTCTCTGGAAAAATACATTCTTCAGTGGTTTATTTCAGTTCTATGTCAAAAAAAAAATACAGGCTTCGCATACATGCTTTTTAATTCTCCAACATGCTACTTCCCAAACTGAGCAAAGTCAAAATGAGTGAAAAAAATTTAATTAAATGAATTAATAACATAATAAAAAATAAGAAAATATCACATGAAATGAGCTATCAGTCAAACCTTCTCCTTAAAAATAAAATAAAAAATAATACAAAATAAAATAATATAAAATAACAACTGAGCTAAGTCTAAACTATTTCTTAAAAATAAAATAAAATACAAAAAGCTGTGCATACCTGATAACTTGTTCCTTGTCGCCATGGCTGCTCTCTTCCGTACTGATTTTTTGTCGCAGGCGTGTGATTTCGGCATCAATACTTTTGGCACTCTGATCTACCTGCTGTCGCACAGGACAGATCTCTTTGGCTTTGGCTTCACAATCCTACAAAGCAAGCCATTTACAAACAATGAGCAAGTCCAATATGTCACCATGCTGCTCTTTGGATGAAAACAATATGCACATTTTCTTATGATAAGGAATTTTATATATTACATTATATGATATGAAAAGCGTAAAGGAGTGATTACCTGTGTTAATTCCTCTCTGAGAGACAGATCATCTTTCATGGCCTGAACAGTAGCCTGATGATCCTCAAGTTTCTTCTCCAAGATCTTCAAGGTTTGATCAAGTTTACTGCACACAGCCTCTGCCTTAACTTGCTCCTCCTATTCAAGACAAATCCATCTTTCAATAAACACTATGTATGTGTGTGTGCATTTTTTATGTTTTTTTAAAGAAGTCTTTTCTGCTCACCAAGCCGAAATTTATTTGATCCAAAGTACAACAAAAACAGTACAATTTTGAAATATTTTTACAATTTAAAATAACTGTTTTCTATTTGAATATATGTTCAAATGCAATTTATTTCTGTGATTTCAAAGCTGAATATTTAGCATCAATTCTCCAGTCACATGATCCTTCAGAAATCATTCAAATATTCTTTGTTGGTTAAAAAATATTTATTGTTATTATCATCATGTTGAAAACAGCTGAGTAGAATTTTTTCAGGTTTCTTTGATGAATATAAAGTTCAGAACAGCATTTATCTGAAACAGAAATCTTTTGTAACATTATAAATGTCTTTATCATTACTTTATTTTATTTTTATTTATACAATTTATACTTGTACTTTATACTTTTATTTATAAATAAAAGTACTAATTTCTATAACCCCCCCCCCAAAAAAAATATACTGACTCCAAGCTTTTGAATGGTACGGTGTATAATGTTAATAAAAGCTTTTTATTTCAGATAAATGCTGATTTTTGGATCTTTCTATTCATCAAAGAATCCTGAAAAAAATGTATTCAACTGTTTTAAATATTGATAATAATAATAATAATAAATGTTTCTTGAACAGCAAATCAGCATATTAGAATGATTTCTGAAGGATCATGCAACACTGAAGACTGGAGTAATGATGCTGAAAATTCAGCTTTGATCACAGGAATAAATTACATTTTAAAATATATTAAAATAGAAAGCAGTTATTATAAATAGTAAAACATATTTCACAATATTACTGTTTTTGTTGTATTTTGGATCAAATAAATACAGGCTTGGTGAGCAAAAAAAAAATTATAGCATAAAATGACAATTCTAAAATTTCCAAGTTTTCCATGATTGTGGGAATCCTGTAGTAATTGATACCACTGACAGTTTTTTTAAGAAAACAAAAAATGTAAATATTTAAATCGCAAATGTAAAATATTTAAACTGAGCGTTGCATTGTATACTGATCGTCCAGTGTAGCCTCTCACCTTCAGTTGTTCCGTCTCATCTGAGAGTTGCTCCATTTTATTTTTCACATCTTTATATTTCTGATTAATATTCATAAGCACTCTCTCATGTTTCTTTAACTCATCCTGAGCCTCTTTCACGTTTTTCCTCTCCGATTCGATCTTCTGTTCATTTTCTTGTTCTTCTTCTTCCTGTACATTTGACGATCGCCTATTATTCCATGTCACAAAACAATAAACATCAACGTTTGCCTGGTAAAATTCATAGAGAACTCACCAGGGAGCTGATGTCTTCAGCATGCGCCTCTTCAATGTTCTTAAGTTCGGTTATGGAAGCTTTAACCTTGTTTATACTTTCCTAAAAAAAGAACAATTAAAGCCAGCATCAACTACTGTATTCAGATATGTTTGGACATGAATATAGACTATATGATGGTGTAGCCTGTGCAGTTCAATACCTGATTCTTTTTGCAGGCCATGATGACACTACGCAGCTTCTCCTCCATGAACTGAATGTCTTCCTTCACAGAGCCCAAGTGAAGCTGGAACCGTGAAAGCTGAGCCTGATTGTTCTCCAGCTCTGACTCCACTAGACTGTAAATCAGTAGAGAGAAACACATATATTCATGCATAATTGCCTCTGATCATGCCTTAAAGAATTGGGCTCCACAAGGGTTTGCATGAATTATCATCACTGTGCCATGAGTAAAATCTTTAACTTTAACTTGCTCCAGGTACAATCAGAGACAAAGTGCTTGATGCATACACTTGCCGTATTTCTGCCTCTGGGTCTCCACCAAGATATTGGGCCAGTACTTCACGTTCAGTTGTGTAATAGCGATTGGTGTAGACCTGATCACCATCTGCAGTGAAGGCCTCACGACAATTCTTTGGGGGTCTCGACCCCTGCATGACATTCCTCGCACGAGCGTTCTCCTGTTTTAAAACAAAAACAATATAAAATGAATACATTTTAAATATTGAAATAATATCTAAAAATTAAATATATACACTACCGTTCAAAAGTTTGGGATCAGTAAGACTTGTAACGTTTTTTAAAGAAGTCTCTTATGCTCATCAAGGCTGCATTTATTTGATCGAAAATACAGAAAAACTGTAATCTTGCAAAATGTTATTACAATATAAAATAATGGTTTCTATTTTAATATACTTTAAAATATAATTTATTTCTGTGATGCAAAGATGAATTTCCATCAGCCATTACTCCAGTGTAAAGTGTCACATGATCCTTCAGAAATCATTCTAATATGCTGATTTATTATTAGAATTATCAATG